TTTTTTTTGGGTTGTTTTTTCTAGATCAGAGGTTTTACCTTCAACACACAAGATTCGATTTTCTGCATGGACTAATCTATTTTTAATACTTTCGAGGGACGCTTTGATTTCCTGAAGGGCAACGTTCATCTCTAATAGCTCCATTTGATTCTTTTTCATGATGTGTATTTCCTCTTTCAGATCATGAAAGAACTTCAACACTTCCTGGAACTTGTTGTCTCTTTTCTCCTGCATCTTCTGGAGTTCCTCATCTCTCAGCTCTTGCATCTTGTTTAGTTTTGTCAGTATGAATATTATGAAGTCTTTATCAGACATTTCTATGAATTCTACTGTACTGTTTGTAGATGATGAGGTATTGCTCTTTTCCCTTATGGGAGACACATTTTCTTGGTTTCTCATGTTTCTTGTACCTCTGCGGTTGTTTCTGGTCATTCTGTGACAAAATCTCTCCTCCACAGTGCTTAGCAATGTGGTATAAACAGTAAGATTAGGAGTTCATATTTATAGAAAGAAATTTATTCATTAAAGCAGGAGATTCAATAAGTGTTGAGGATTTCAATGAATCTAAAAGGATTCAGATACTTGGCTACTGTACACCTAGGCCTATATAGACATTAAGTGTCTGGAGAGTGAAGCTTAGAGTAAGAAAGTAAGATTAAAAAATAAAAGCAAAAAGAAATAAAAAGGAAAATACTACTGAAAAATAGTAAAATATGAAAACCACACGGTGCACTAGCATGCCGCACAAACACACCAGGACACACCTCAGCTTTAAAATGGCTGCTGAAATTAACAAGTCAAAGAAAAGGCCCAAGCTGAGGAGAGGTGCTTGAACAATTAAAAAAAAAAAAAAGTTAAAAAATTTAAAGGGAGAGAGAGCATGAGACAGACAGAAAGGGAGAGAGAACATGAGACAGACAGCGAGAAACAGAGAGAAGACGGAGGTCATCCTACCTTGTCTGAATATTTTGGGAGTCTAGGAGGTGAGTTTAGAGCATAGCTTCCCTGAACACACCAGGACACACCTCAGCTTTAAAATGGTTTCTTGTCTGAATATTCTGGGAGTTTACCCCAGTAATGGATTTTTTTTTAAAAATTTTTCTGATGGAATTTCATTTCTTAGCTATAGGTCGAGTCAGTCTTCCTACTTTTCATTTCTTTTTTAAAAGTTCATGATAGAGCATGTGTGCATGCATGAGAGAAAAAGAGCGAAAGCGAGAAAAGCACTCTTGACAGGACTTGGTCTCTCTGTGATCCTCTTCCTCCAACCCAACAAAATTCTGGGCACACTTGCAAAACCCAAGCCAACTGGGCTGGGGGCTTGAATCATAGTCAGCATGTGGCTTCCAGCTCTGAAGTCCAGTATGCTACTGGCTGTACCACTGAAGCTGGGTCCATATTTTTTCTTAAATTAGCTATGGTATGTTATACTTTCCAAGGAATTTTTCTATTTTACCTATGTTGTTCAATTTATTAACTATAAATTTATTAGTATAGTATTCCTTTTTTTCTTTTTTGACCTCTATAAGATTTATAGATTTGTAGTGATATGCAGTGCCCATTTTCATTTCTGATATTGTTCATTTGTCCCTTTTGTTTTTTAAATTGATTATTTTTGTGAGAGACACATTAATTTTATTATTCTGTCCAAAAACTAAATTTTGGCTTTGCTAATTTTCTCAGTTTTAATTTGTTTAAAAAATTTCTTTTAGGGGAACCAGCAGTTAGCGTAATGGCTATGTCGCTGGACTCCCACGTAGTCGACCACGGTTCGCGTCCCGGACCCGGTGGCTTAAAACTCACGCTGGGCGCGTGTGCGTGCGTGCCCAAGATCCCGAGAGGAGAATGGAGGAGAAGGGATTGCGGCGTGACCATCCCCCCTGGGGGGTGATTTCTCGCTTTCTGTCTCTATGTCTGTCTCTGTCTGTCTGGCGAGTGCACGCGCCCTATAGCGAAAACCTCTCAAAAAAAAAAAAAAAAAACAAAAAAAAAAAATTTCTTTTAGAAATTTTTGCTACAGGGCATGTGTGCTCACTGAGGAAACAGAGAGACATAAACTACAATCCTTTCTCTTCCATTCTCCTTTCAGGATTTTGGGCACACACACATACACACCCAGCATGAGTTTTAAGTTGCTGGGTCTGGGACTCGAACTGTGGTCAACTAGGTGGGAGTTCAACAGTGTAATGCCATCTGCTGGTCCCTGTTTTTAAATGTTTATTAGTTTCTTCTTTTATCTTTATTCATTGTTCCTTCTAGTTAATGTAAATTTATTTATTTTCCCTAGCTTCATAAAAATGCCACTTCTCTATTTCATTTCCTTCCTCACTCTCATATAACAAACAAACAATAAACAAACAAAAGCATTGTGGGGCCAGCCAGGTGGTGTGGTGGATATGGCAGCTGAATCCCAGATGGCGGGCTGAGTGGTTTGAGTCCTGAACCCAGTGGCTTGAAAAACAGGGCTGGCACATGTGCATGTGAACAAAAATAACAAGGGGAGAATGGAGGAAAAGGGATTGTGGTATGGTCATCTCCCTGGGGAGTGGTTTTCCTCTTTCTCTCTGTCTCTCTCCAGTGAGTACATGTGCCCTATAGCAAATTTTCAAAAAAAAAAAGTTTTATTTTAGGTGCTATTTTTGTATGTTTTTATGGAAGTAGAGGAAAAGACATACATTTTATATTACCTGCCTTTTTTTCTGGACTTCTCTCCCTACACTCTCTATAATTGCCCCTTTCTCAAAAAGGAAGGGATGAAAGTGAGATAATCTTTGCCTCTTGGGGTGGAGTTGTAGCAGGAGAGGAAAACCAGTGTTCAACCACAGCGTACAGGAGGTGACTTAGAACGCCGATTCTCTAATTACCCTGTCTTCTAGCCCTGCTCTTCTCCCAGGTCCCTGTTGCCCCGCACCCTTTTCTCTTGCCTTCTCTCTTCTCCAGCACTTTCTTGTGGGCAAAGGGTGGGACCCATGACTTCTCCTTCAATCATAGATTACTCTCGTGGCTTTGGTGGCCGTTACGGGGTGGAAAAGGACAAACGGGACAAGGCAGCTCTGGGATACGACTACAAAGGAGAGACGGAGAAACACGAGTCCCAGAGAGGTGAGTTTTAGAGACCCTTCTCCTTTACAGAGGACAGAGGGTCTCCTTTCCTGGGGCACAGATGGGGTATCCCTACGTCTTCCTTCACATTTCCTCTTGTCTTTTCACTGCTCTCATTTCCCCTTCTCTTCCCACGTCTCTCATCTCTGTTATTTCCAAACGTATTTTCTCACCCTCCCTTTTCCTGTTTCAGTCCATGCCGCTCTCCGTCCTCTGATGCTCACAGTTCCTCTGCTGTCTCTCTGTTTTCCTCATTCCCATCTTCTGGCTTTTCTTCCCATTGCTCCCTCTCCCTACCCATTCCCAGCATTTTAATCTTCTGTTGTGACTCTTAGAACTCTCTGTCCTTCAGATTATGCCAAGGGCTTTGGCGGCCAGTATGGAATCCAGAAGGACCGAGTAGATAAGGTAAAACGCCAAAATCTATTGTTTCCAGCAGAGCTCTCTAGGTTTAGGGAAGTGGGCAGAGAAGAGTGAGAGGCAAGAAGGGAAAGGATGGGAGAGTGGTGCCAGTTGCCCAGCATCCGTCCTGCACTTCCCAGGACTGTCCTTGGCATCCAGTGAGTGTTTTAAAGCCAGAGATTTAACTGAGGATTGTAGAGGGTGTGGAGAGATACAGAAAGAGACAAATAAATAAAACTAGGCAGGGCTTACAGTGCAGTGAGTAAACACCATGCAGAGGGAGCCAGATTTCACATGGCTGACAGTGGTTTACATCCCACCTTGGCAGCTTGAAAAACAAGATGGGCACATGTGTGGGTGCCCAGGATCCTGACAGGATGGAGAAATGGAAGACAAACATTGCAGTGTGACCAGGTTGTGTTGGCGGGTGCTTTCTCTATATCTCTCTGTATTTCTCTTACACACCTATGCCACCCCCCTCCCCCCGCCCCGGCATTAAAAAAAAAAAAAGAAAAAAGAAAAAGAAAAAAAAAAGTTAGAGCTGAACCTTAGGCAAAGGTGAAGTTAGATCGGAAATTTCACTGATTGCTTTGTATTGCTGAACCCAATCTTTGGTCTCTCCGCACTCCATGCCACACTAGTTCCTCCTTGTGCATTGACCAGGGGCCCTGCTATAACACATTCTGGGCAATGGACTTGGAGACAATGAGCTCTAACTACACTGAGTTTCCAAAAAAGGGAGCTGAGCCCAACAGTTAACACTTCATTGCCCCTCTCTGCCACAAAACAATATTGGAATACCCTATCCAATTGTTGAGTGTCAAATGGTTAGGGATACTTTCTACGGTGACCTCAGCCACCAATATTGTCTTCAAGAGTCACTGCCACTTCTGCCCCTCCCTCACATGGTATAAACTGTTCTACCTGCAGAGTGCTGTTGGCTTCAATGAAATGGAGGCCCCAACCACAGCTTACAAGAAGACAACACCTGTAGAAGCTGGTGAGTCTTAGATGATTTCCTTTCTGTGTTATCTTCACACACCCTCTCCCTTCCTATTTTTTTCTCCTCCTTGAACTATCTCCTCTATGCTCTTAACAACCGAAACTGACCGAGGTAGACTTGATACCTACCCTTATACTTTCACATTCTGTCTCCTAGGAAAACCAGGTCAAGTGCATAGTGAGGAAGTGACAATGGGGAAGATTCTGAGGGCAGAGAACACGGGGGGCTGGGGAGTAGAGACCACTTGAGAAAGATAGAAATCAGGAATAGTGATGGGGTAGAAAATTGAGAACTTCTAGAGGGCAAATTTAAGGAATGTGAGTGGGAAGGAAGCTGGTAGGGGACCAAGGCTTAAAATTTGGAAAGGACAAGAGTTTGAAGTCAGAGCCTAGCTGGATGGAAATCTAGGCTTTGGGGCTACAGTCCTCTTCTAATCCCTTCCTTTTTCCATCCAATCTTTTCTCCACTTGTATATTTAACTGATTTCTCTTTTGTCTTCAAGTGCCACCTCTTTTCTGATCCAAGACAACTCTAATTCTATTTGCCTATGTCTGCAGCTTCTAGTGGTGCCCGTGGGTTGAAAGCAAAATTTGAGTCCATGGCTGAGGAGAAGAGGAAGCGGGAGGAGGAGGAGAAGGCACAGCAAATGGCCAGGCAGCAGCAGGAACGAAAGCCTGTAAAGGTGAGCCGTGAGGCTCAGCAGCCTGAAGTGACTGTGGAAGAGCCTGAGGCGCCAGCCCCACTGCCCAAGAGAATCTCAGAGGTGAGTGCCCAGCCCTCTGGCATCTACATCCAGGACTTCTTGCCCACACAGAAACCATTTTTGTTTTTTGTTTTGTTTTGTTTTGTTTTTTTGACAGAAAGTAAGTCAAAGGTCTCCATCCTTTAGATAGTCTTTTGTCTGTATTTTTAGGAAGATTTCAGTCCAATAGTGTAATTGGACCTCATGTACCCAAATATTAGAGGAAAGAACAAGATTCTTGTAGTTCCACAGAAAGCAGGTCTCCAATAAGTACAGTCAGTCGTTGCTGTAAGAACTAAAAGGAAGGATCCATCACCTCGAGTTGGAGCCCAGCTTAAAAGATGAGTTCCGAGAGAGAGAGAGAACGAGAGAGAGAGAGGAGTTCCATTTAGATTGATGGAGAGAAGGAAAAGGCATTCTTGGCAAGTGTTAAGAGTGAAGACGGAAGAAGACGGAAGGATGCTTTCATTTTCCACAGGCCTGGCCTCCAGCAGAGAGTCATCCATCATCAGTGCCTGAGCCTGTGAGAATCAACAGGGAGCACCCAGGGCCCTCTCTGCCCATGAGACAGACTCTCCCAGAGGTAAGTAGAGTTCTAAAGATTCCCTGCTCTCTCACTCCATCAGTCTTCTGGTTTTTAGTTTGTTTTTGTGTTGCTAACAGAAATAACCACATCTTGGTTAATTTAAAAGAATAGAGATTTATTTTGACTCACAATTTTGGTGGCTGGGAAGTCTAAAAGCATCATAAAATGACAGAAGTCAGAATTTTAAGCAAAGCAGAGTATGGTCTATATCCATTTGGCCTTCCCTCTGCTTGTAAACCCTATCAGAACTCAATAATGGGAGTCTTGTCTTGTATGAATTATTACACCCAAAGGCCTCACCCTGGGATATCATGAAGAAATTAAGTTTTTATGTAATACCTTACGATATGATCAATACAATCAAGGTTCAATCTATGAATTTCTGAGGAACATCCAATTACCACTCACTAAGACCAAATTCTAAAACATGAAACTTTGGGAGACAAATCATAATCCAAACCATATATCATCTTCTAATGTCTTAGGAGGGTGAGTTGTGTAGGGTGACCAACCATCCTGGTTTTCCTGGGTCTATTCTGGTCTTAGCACTGAAGTCTTGCATTCCAGGAAATTCTCCAGTCCTGGGAAAACTAAGACAGTTGGTTACCCAGGTAGCACAACAGTATACTTTTGCTTCAGTGTTTTCCTGGTCTTTGAAAGAGTCTGACTTGCTTTCCACTCCTCTCTCTCTTCACAGTTTTTACATGGCCCTCCTATCATATCTGGGTTGGTGTTTTGAGTAGCTGAGACTGGGATGAGGTTGAGGAATAAAGATGGATGAAAGATTATGTTCCCCAGGAAAGACTGCTAAGTGAAGGCAAGGGTAGAATGTGGAAGATGAAGAGATCTTAGCAGTCCTCCAGAGAGTAAATTGAGTCTTCTTGGTGCATAGAAGTTACCCTGCTCTATACCATCTCTTCTCAGGACAATGAAGAGCCCCCAGCTCTGCCCCCTAGGACTCTGGAAGGACTCCAGGTAGCGGAAGAGCCAGTGTACGAAGCAGAGCCAGTGTACGAAGAAGAGCCAGTGTATGAAGCAGAGCCTGAACCCGAGCCTGAGAATGACTATGAGGATGTTGGAGACCCAGACAGCCATGAGCAGGATAATGAACCAGATGGAGACTATGAGGATGTGCTTGAACCTGAGGAGTCTTCTTTTCCCTCCACCCAGTCTGGTAAGTGGTAGAAGAGAAGAAACTCCTGAATTTGTGAGGTCTATGGGAGGGTAAGAGGAAGAAGAATTTCCCCACTTCTTGGTGGGATCTCTTTGCCTTCTGTATGTTGGTGAGACCATGTTTATATTTCTTATTTTGCAGGATCATCAGACCACCCAACTGGGGCTGGGGCTATGGGGATCTCAGCTGTAGCCCTGTATGATTACCAAGGAGGTAGGTTGGGAGTGGTTTGAGGGTCCTGATGCCTGGAGGTCCCCTTGGTACAAGAGATGGAGATGGATTTGGGGGTTCAGGGAAGGGCCCAGCTTGACATCAAAAAGGCCAGGCCTATTTCCTTCCCTGAGGTTTAGAGTGGGCGTGGGGATGGAGAGATTCCTGCCTGACCATTTTACTATGTCTTCAATTGCCTCCCCAGAAGGAAGTGATGAGATTTCCTTTGATCCAGATGATGTCATCACTGACATTGAGATGGTGGATGAGGGCTGGTGGCGGGGACGTTGCCATGGCCACTTTGGACTCTTCCCTGCAAATTATGTCAAGCTCCTCCAGTGACTGGCCCCCATTGTCTTCTGCAACAGTGATTTCCCATGTCTGAAGTGACTCTGATGGTGCCTCCTCTTCA